TAATGCATGTTCTTACTCAAATGTAGAAGCTAACAAAATTCATCTGCCAGCCATGGTGGCCCACACCTGTAACACCAGTACTTTGGAAGGGTGAGGCAGAAGGAGCTCTTGAGCCTAGGAATTCAAGACCAGCCCAGGCAACATAGTAAAATCCCATCTTGAAAGAAAAAAGAAAAGGGAGGGAGGGAGGGAGGGAGGGAGGGAGGGAGGGAGGGAAGGAAGGAAGGAAGGAAGGAAGGAAGGAAGGAAGGAAGGAAGGAAGGAAGGAGAAAGAAAGAAAAGAAAGAAGGAAGAAGGAAGGAAGGAAGAAAGAAAAGGAAGGAGGGGAAGGAAGGAAAAAGAAAAGAGAAGAAATAAAGAAAGAGAAAGGAAAGAAAGAAGAGAAGGGAAAGGAAAGAAAGAAAAGGAAGGAAGGAAGGAAGGAAGGAAGGAAGGAAGGAAGGAAGGAAGGAAGGAAGGATTAGCCAAGTATGGTAGCTCATGGCTACAGTTCCAGCTACTTGGGAGGCTGAGGCAGCAGGATCAATTGAGGCAGGAGTTGGAGGACACAGTGAGCTATGATCACACCACTACACTCCAGTTCCAGTAACACAGTGAAGACCTGTCTCAAAAAAAAAAAAAAAAGTTGCTCTCACAGAAGTAGAGAATCGTGGTTACTCTAAGATGGGAAGGGTGAGGCAGGTAGGAAGATCTTGGTTAACACAGTGGTCATCAACCTTTTTGGCATCAGGAACTGGTTTTGTGGAAAACAATTTTTCCACAAGATGGTGTGGGTATGGTTTCATCAACAGGCATTAGATTCTCATAAGAAGCAGGCAACCTAGATACCTTGCATATGCAGTTCGGTTTGTGTGCCTATGAGAATCTAGTGGCATCACTGATTTGACAGGAGGCAGAGTTCAGGCTGTAATGCTCACTAGCCCACTGCTCACCTCCTGCTGTACGACCAGTTCCTAACAGTCTACGGACCAGTGATGGTCCACAGACCAGGGTTGGGAACACCAGGGTTAACAAAATAATAGCTAAACAGGAGGAAAACGTTCTAGTATTCTATAGCACTGTAAATGATTACAGTTAATAGTAGCTTAATGTATATTTTCAAACAGCTAGAAGAGCTGGTCTTGAATTTGTTTCTAACATGAATAAACAATGCTTGAGATGATGGATATGCTAATTACCCTAATTTGATCATTATTCATTATGTGTACCCAAATACCACACTGTGCCCCCTAAATAGGTACAATTATTATGTCAATTAAAAACAAAAAAGAATAGCCCTAATAAACCATTCAAATAAAAAAGTAACCTATGATTTTTTTGCAGCAAAATTTAATATTTTAATAATGAACATAGTATTTAATGTTAACTGCATTATAAATTACCAAAATTGGAGGTATCTGTGTCTTCATTAAATAAAAATATTTTATTAAGGTAATATGATTTAAGATATTAACCTCTGAAACCACTGAACGTCACCACATTTGTCATATCAAACCATAAGTGGTCTCAAATATGTCTTAATGTCTGTATAATTAAAACAATAGAACTAATTCAATCTGACCCTTATTAAAAAGGAAAAAAGGGCCAGAAAATATGGAAATTGTTTCAAGATTTCAAACACTATATAGAGCAATCCTGAAATTCTGTAGCCAGTACAGCAGCAAATCTACTTTGAAAAGCACTGCTGACAATGAACCTTTTTCCACAGCAATACACAATTGATTCCATGAAAACGGCAGAAGCTGCTAAATGTTTACAGATTAACACCAAAGACAAATAAGTTGACTGTAACTGGAAAAAACATGAACAAACAAACAAAAATCGTTAGGTTTTTTTTTTCCCTTTCCATTTTCCTAAGATCTTTTACCAAGAGTTTCAAGCACGTTTAAAAAAACATGATCGCAAAAATAAAAAAATTAAAAAAAGAACAAAAAACATGATCACATTGTGATATGCTACCATTTCTTATTTTGAGAAACAATGCACACTCCTAAATGAGGACATAAAGTCAGAATATGCTATTATAATTTCTGAAAAAAGAACATGCACAATTTATTACAATTCTGAATACTCATCTAAAATATTTAAAGACAAAAAAATGGAGTACCATCTCCTACTCAAAAAATTATCCTTCCAAATTTCTATTTTTATATCTGACGTCAAAAAAAATCAGTTTAAAGTTTCCTTAGGTCATTTTAAAAATAAATAAAATATTGTTTCATTTTTAAAATGTTGTTAATGCCTGGTTAATACAGCAGTTGTAAATGATATGAAATTTCTCATGTGATGTTTTAATCCACTTTCTGTTGCTTATAACAGAATATCAGAAACTAGGTAATTTATAAAGAAAAGGAGTTTATTTATTACAGTTATGGAGACAGAGAAGTCCAAGGTTGAGAGACCAGATCTGGTGAGAGCCTTCTTGCTGGTAGGTGATCTGTGCAGAGTATGGAGGCAGCATAGGGTCTCACATGCCAAGGGGGCTGAACATGCTAACATGCTTACTCAGGTCTCTCTTCCTTTTCTTATAAGCCACCAGTTCCACACTCCTATAACTCATTCATCCATTAACCCAATAATATATCAATCTATAAGTGGATTAACCCATTCATAAGAACAGAGTACTCATGATCCAGTTTCCTCTTAAAGGCCCCACATTGGACATTCAATACTGTCACACTGGGAATTAAGTTTCCCACATATGAAATTTGGGGGACACATTTGAATTATACCATGTGGCAAAAGCTACTCTTAATCTTTGTTATTTAAAGCTATCAAACAAATGGCCAGGCACAGTGGCTCATGTCTGTAATCAAAGCGCTTTGGGAGGCTGAGGCAGGAGGATCACTTGAGGCCACGAATTCAAGACCAACCTGGGCAATAAAGGAACTCCATCTCTATTTTTTTAAAATATATTTAAGATAAAATAAAATGAAATAAAGCTAAAGTGCCATTTCTAAAAAACATTAAATGCAATTTCACTATCTGAGAAATACAGCTTTCTTGTGGAAATTACTACTAATATAGAAATCAAGAGACGTTTTCATTTACTTACAATAAGAAGTGATTATCTTCCTATTAGCACTTTCTAATCTTTTCGAAAAGGATAGAAGAAATCAACATTTCTCTCAGTGGAGAAGAACCACAAATTCATGGATATGTAAATCTACGTCAATTATGGATTAATTATGTCACGTATTTCATGGCTAACAGGAGAGAAAGAATGCTGACCACTAGGCAAGGAGAGGATGTTTATCTGAGGTTCATATTGATATGGATACAATGGGCATTCCCAATTACAACTAGTAACAATGATTTCTTAGGAAAGCTAATGTTCAAAGAACTTTGTATATCACTAATTATCCCATTTTTATCTATTATACTTTTTGAAAAGAAAGACCCATTCTCTTAATTGCCTAGTTAGAAAGTACTCTTTATGCAATAATGTTAATCGATCATGATTTCTAAATATTGTAATAACGCTCTTTTTAAATTTTCTGCAAAATATGACAGTTTTTTCTGTGTTTTTTTGAATCACAGCCACTCCATCCTCACCCACACACAGGATCAGAGATTAAAGCAAATGATTCTTTATACTCTCTCAAAAATAAATCCAAACTTTGGAAAATTACACAGTAATGTACAAGCATATAAAAACTCAGTGTCAGTGTCAGAAGTCATTTGAATAATTGCAGGGAGCTCTCTGGAGGTATCTGCCCGTAATTTAAGGACCAACTATGAATGTAAACCTAGAGAGACAATGATACTATCGTTATGCACCACGAAATTTTCCTAAGAGCTTTGATCAGATTCCCCTAAATAGTTTATGCATGTCTCTGTATGCAATCATAGGTGCTGGCCTGGAAAAGTTAAAATGAAAATAATCAGGGCTGTATCTGTCTGAATATACACAAATTTGGTTTATCGATGTGAAAGTAGATGTGCAAAACCCAAACGTCAAAAGGTGGCCTACGGTATTTTTGTGACAGAGAATCTTTGTTAGGTTTGTTAATGCAGCACGTACATGGGAGGCTAGTGTAATCAGTTTCCTTCTCAGAGAGATACTAGAAAGTTGAATGACTCTACCCCGGGGAGACTCACAAGTCAATCTAGGGCCCTTTTTGTCCCCCACCCTCACCTCACTCCTTTCCTTCCCACACACAGACATGCACTCTCCTATCACATTTGAAGCCCCGGTGGGCAGTTTTCTAGGGTAGTTTCACTGGTGCATTAAATTGGATCTGACACCACGGGCAGCCTGAGGTTGGATGCCATAGCTGCCAGCGCCCACGGCTCACCTCTAGCTTGTGGTTGATTTGAGACACAGTCTGGGCTTTGTGGCAAAGCTGTGCAAAGCAGGAGCTCAGGCTGGTCATCTTCTGCCGCCCCTCATAAGTGATGTCCGCCTGGTCTGGATCGATCTCGCCCAGGAGCAGATCCACATCCACAAATGCCTTGTCGAATTCCTTCTCCAGCACCTCCAGCCACCGGAACATGGATACCCCGCCGGGGGAGACACCCACGGAGCAGGAGGCGCCCCCTGGGCCCCCTCCGGCTGCTGCTGGGCATGGGCCGCCCGCCGACATGGCGCCGTCAAGGGCCTCTCCCGACTGCTGAAGACCCTCGCCGCCCACCCTGCACTAGGGGAACTGCTGGGACTGACTGGACCGCCACGCGCGCACGCACGCTCCGTCACCTCCCTTCACCTCGCGCTGGTAACGCCAGCTACAGAGCCCCAGAACCGCAAGAGTAACGAGGATGAGGATGAGGCGGCAGCGGCTGCAACACACGGAAGCCTTGGTCAGTCCCACCTCCCAGGCCGCCCCCGCTGCGCATGCGTAGCGAAGAGTTGGAGGACGCCGTCAGGAGGGACAAAATGGGCGGGGCCAGAAAGCAACCTTGGCCTATGAAAGACCTCAGCTTGGGACCGCCCTGTCAGCGGACATATTGACAACTGGCAAAGTACGGCTTGAATCCCTGAGAAACGGAGGCGTGTGGTTTCTGCATCCTGGTTGGAAAGGCCCGAGGATGAGAAAAGTGTCCACGTCGCAGAAAGGAAGGATTTCCGCCGGTTTTACTTAACAGTTGGCTGGAGCCGTTCCAAAGTCTTCCCAGAAAGTTTGCTGCGGTGGCGTCCACGGTTAGGGAAGGGAAGAGGGAGGAAAGGCGGTGTGAGCATGCGCAATAGCCACGTTTTACCTTTTAGATTCCAGTTTCAGGTTAGAGAGGAGTGGGTGTACACTCTGGCTATTCTTGGCAAACCAAACCCCAAATTCTTGTGTGCACTGCCTAAAGCTGCTCATTGAAGCGACTGACCAGATTTTGCGAATTAATGGAAGACTTTTTGTCTTGTAATTAAGAGCCAGGTAGACCTGGCTTCAAGTCTTACACTCAGTCACATACTAACTGTGTCACCTTACGTGTATTAGTTAACCTCGAAACCAAGTTTCCATATTTTACTTAATTCAGTTGTAAGGTAAAATGCTTAGCGTCACTTCGTGGCACACGGTAGTCCTCAGTACACCATAGGTCACACATTTCAAAAGCAACCACGGTAGTGTTTAACTTAAGATGGGGATATGTTCTTACTAATGCGTCCTTAGGTTATTTCATCCCTTAGGGAACATACTAGAGTGTATTTAAACACAAACCTAGATAGTATAGCCTACGACACATCCAGGCTATATGATGTAGCCTATTGCTTTTAGGCTACAAACCTGTACAGCATGTTGCCATTCTCAATACGGTAGGCACTTATAACACAGTGGTAAATATTTGTATGTCTAATTATATCTAAACAATAAGGTACAATAAAAACATGGGACATACTCTTACAGGATCACCGTAGTTTATGTGGTCCATTCATGATTGAAAACTTGTTATTGGGCACATAACTGTACTTTAAAAGGTGTATTTATTTGAAAATGGGTATAGTGTCCCCACAAGTGACATTTCAGAAAATCAAAATTGTGAATTCATGTATTTATATATATATATTGAATGCAGAGCTCTGTTGAGATATTGAAGACACAAAAATGAGTGAGACATGACCTTTACTCAAGCTGGGATAGGCTAGTGAGGCTACTCTCAACTATAACTTTAACTTGAATTTTTCAGTGACTTTGAAAGTGTTCAGCAACTCCTCTCTTTACATTCTGCCTACTCCCACTTCAAGGATAGACAGTCCTGGAAAGGGAAAGAGAAACCTGTGTGATTAGAGTAGGCTGGTGGAAACTCTCTCCTGTATTGCCTAGAGGGATATTTTGCTGGCTGAGTACAGTCTGCTGTTACCTGTTCTTGGGACAGACCCCTTCCAGTTAATCACCCCAGACCCTGCACTGTGTGCCCCTTTGCCAATGCAAGGCCGCTGAGGAGCAAGAAATCATACTGCAGGGCAGACTGGTTAGTATGATGCAATAAAGTCCTTTGGCTTGAGCAAACTTAACTAATCAAAACGAATCACAACATCCTCACCTTACACTTAAGTAGGGACCTTCACACAGGTTTTAGTACACAATAAATAATGTAAAACTAAAATTTGCATCTTTCCCAATTCCCTTCCAAAATTAACTTTATTTTCATCTACAGTATTTGCAAATACATCATTGTTACAGCTATTAAGCTCCCAGCCACTTTCTCTACACATAATACAGTGGCAATGCATTTTCAGGAACTTGAAGTAAATAATTTAAAATTTTCAGGGCAGGGGGAGAATACATGGAACCACAATTATAATAGCTTTCAATTATTGAGTCCTTACTATGTGTTAGTGATTATGCTATTTGCTTTACTTCTTTTATCCTTACAAAATCCTGTAAGGTAGGTATGATCACGTCTTTTATTGTTGTTGAGACAGGATCTCACTCTGTTGTCCACGCTGGAGTGCAGTGACAGAATCATGGCTCACTGCAGCCTTCACTTTGTTGACCAGGCTGGTCTGAAACTCTTGGGCTCAAGCAGTCCTCCTGCTTAGGCCTCCTAAAGTGCTGGGATTACAGGTGGGAGGCACCACACCCATCAATCACTTTTTAACAGATAAAGTCACAGATAGCTTAAGTGTCTTGGTAGGGTCAAAAGCTAGAAAGTGATTGAGGTAGTATATCAGTCTAGGTGTCTTTCTTCTAAGTTATTGCTGTTGACCATGGAATATGAAAGAATGAAGGAATCTATTTCTTCTTGAATAAGTTACCAGTATAATAAATTGGCAAGTCAGTTCCAAAAGTTCTTTTTAATTTATTCATAGTTAGAAACCACATACAAATCTATTAACATATAAGAAATATTACCAAAAAATTGTAATAACTCATTTTCTATCACTTATAACTCTAATTTATGTGAACCACACTTGAATGTAAATTTAATTTCTTTAAAAAAAATCAACTTCCAGCTACATAGTGTGGGTGCAGCTGAGTGACATTTTAAGTGTTTATATGTTTCCAGTGCTCTAATGGTTTGTGAGTACCATTCAAGTTTGCAGAACCCAGTTTAGTATCTGTTACAACCCTTACAACTTCAACAAGTCATATCCTCTGTGTCTCAGACGAATTTCATGTCATGTTCTCTCTTCTCATTACCATAGTATGTAGACATATCTTTTGCCCACCTTGATTTTGGTTATGCAAATCTGCAAGTCACAGCAAAACACAGATGTGAAAAGGAGGGCTTAAAATCAGAGGTTGATGTTCACGTGCTGCCATCTGTTGTCCGTGGACTCTATCTACACTTACTGCCTTATCCTTACTGTGGAATTTGAGATTGTATGTAATGTCAATACTTCAGTGATTTGTTTTTCCACAGATATTAAAGTCTTGATACTTCTATTTGCAGTTGGATTGGCAGAAGCTTCCAATAACTGTTTTATGAATCATGCTTATGTGATTTTTAAAAAATATAACTCAAATGTGATACTCTTGTTTTAGGAATGTATCCCTACAGAGTTTTGTCGCAAGGTATTACTAAGAATAAATAGGGTGGGGACTGAGGAAATTGGGGAAAGAGAGAAGATATTAAGGATTTCTTTGATAGGTACTGGTAATTAACTGTAGGGTCAGTGTATAGTTTAAATATTTATGGAGCATCATTAATTGCAAAGGTGCTATAATAAAAGGGTGTATAAGACTCACCTTGGACTGGAGAGGGAGATGATCATTTATTGAACTCTGTGTCCCAGGAACTATACTAAACTTCACGTTTCATTTAGTTCCAGTAATCCTACCAAGAGAAGGGGTTAAGTATGTGCTGTTGGTGGCTATAATGAGTTGCATGTGTGATGAAGAAAGTAAAAATTCACTAGCATTTTACTTACTCAATGTAGGAAAGTCTTGAGTGTGTATTCATACATATTATTTATATTTCTTAAATGTATTATTCGTATCTACTAACAATTTAAAATTTGCAGATACATATGCTAAAGTAGTAAGTTTAGGAATCCAAAGTGATTTATTAGCCTTATTCTTCTGATTATTTATCTTATATAAACAAATGGATTCAGGTGTGGTGGCATGCACCTGTAGTCAAAGGTACTCGAGAGGCTAATGTGGGAGGATCTCTTGAATCCAGGAGTTTGAGACCCTCGTGGGCAACATAATGAGACCATGTCTCAAAAACAAACAAAAAACAGGACAACTTTTTGCTCACTTGTTCTTACAACTTGGGAATTTGGGTGCAGTGATTTAGAATGAACTTAGATACCTCCCCTTTCAGGTATCCTTCCTTCCTTCTCCTCATATGATGCTTTGGGTTCCATCCCTAATTAGTTTCCTGTAAATATTTTTTACAGCACTTACCATATTATTTTGGAGCCCGTTAGACTGTGTCCTTGGCAACAATAACTGTATCTTATCTTTGTATCCCAGGTCCTAACACAGGACCTAGAATGTGGCAGGAATGCCATAACTATTTGTGGGATAACTTCAGTAATTAAGGTGTTCGAGCATTCTACCTAGGAAACTCTGAAACGGTCACTTCACTTGTCAAGACATACTTGTGATACATGCTAGAAAGCATAGCTAAATAGTAATTTATCTTTATATTGCCTCAGAGGTATAGGATATCTATAAATTACATATTAGTCTTTATTTTTCCAAACCAAAGATAACATTTTATTTTATAATGATCTGGCTTATTTGACTAATAAATCAATTATAATTTAGGCTTCAAGGATTCTTTTGCCTATTCCACTGTTAAAATTTACTAGATACTATGTTTAGAAAGTATATTCAACCTAAAACCAAACATAACAACTTTACTAAAAACCCTTGTTGCAGCCAGGTGCGGTGGCTCAGGCCACCTGTAATCCCAGCACTTTGGGGGGCCTAGGTGAGCAGATCATGAGGTCAGGAGATCAAGACCATCCTGGCCCTGGTGAAACCCTGTCTTTACTAAAATACCAAAAATTAGCCAGGCATGGTGGTGCTTGCCTGTAGTCCCAGTTACCCTGGAGGCTAAGGCAGGGGAATCTCTTGAATCCAGGAGACGGAGGTTGCAGTGAGCCGAGATCATGCCACTGCACTCCAGCCTGACAAAAGAGCAAGACTCGGTCTCCAAAAAAACAACAGCAACAAACCCTTGTTGCTATATTTTTATTTCCTTACACTATCAAAGATATAACTGCTTTTTCCCTGTTAATCCGATGTACATTCTTCATCCACCACTTCCCACAGCTCCAGATGTGCTTCAGCTTTGTCTGAAACCACAATTTATCAAGAGTAGTATCAGAGTTTCCTGCTCAAGTTTTCTTCTTCTTTCATCCACTGTCAAGCCACTGTTTACTTCTCAAGTGACAGAGTTTAAGGATCAAACATAGACTTCCCCCATCAGAATCTGCTATTTATGGTTTTTATAAATTAGTTCACTAAGGACCTCCCAAACAGTTGCATTCCAAATACCCTTAACACTAATTATTGTTTCAAGTTTTGATTGAAAAGTATAAGAATAAGATACATAATTAGAATTTTGGATGATGGTGGTGGCTCACACCTGTATTCCCAGCACTTTGAGAGGCTGAAGCAGGCAGATCACCTGAAGTCAGAAGTTCGAGACCAGCCTGGTCAACATGGTGAAACCCTGTCTCTACTAAAAATACAAAAATTAGCCGGGTGTGGTGGCATGCACCTGTAATCCCAGCAACTCAGGAGGCTG